TGTGATGCTGCATAAGTCAATTAAAGCATTAGGTAATCTAATTGTGCTGTAGCCACAAAGTAGCTTAAAAGCTGCACTGCCAGTGAATAGTACACGGGCGCTTCCCCAACCCCCTTTAGTTTGGCTATCCCCCATGGTCTTTATGGGAAAAAAAAAAAACGGGGAATGGAGAAAATACACAGAAGGACAACAATAGGTCCGGAGGGACTTGCTCATGCAGATGTTGGGAAAGCCAGTACGCCTAGCCAGAGGGCAAGAAATACTTTGTGTGCAGGGAGAGAGCTGTATGCCTGTAATATAATCAACAAAGTGAAAGGGGAGGGGGGGTTTCTGGCCAGCGCTGCTGAAATTTTGGAATTTGTTTTGCCCTCAGCAAGTCTCTCAATCTTGTCTCTGTTCATTAGTTGCTGGGGGAAACTGATCAGCAGAAAAATTGTGCAATTAAACTTACTTATCCTGCAGACATTGATGTGTGATTAACATTCTTCATGCTGCTTTGATTACTTGCTTTGTTCAGCGTGTATGAATTGGAAGGCGACATTCTGTTCTGCAAGGATATCTGTAAGGAACATTTCTTAGGAAACTAAAAAAAAAAACCATCGACAAAATCCTGTACTACAGTTAGTTCATAAAAAAAAAAAAGAAACATTTGTCTGAAATAAACATTTACGTAAATGAAGAGTTTCACATGCTAGTTACCCTCTTGTATGTGATTTTTGAATTAATTAATTACTGATTTATTACCTAAATTGTAATTCATGCTGTTATGTTCTCTGGATTTGCAATTGATGGACGTTTTGTGAAATATTGCACAATTAAAGTCAAAACTTTTTTTTTGGTTAGCATAGCATTTGGAAGGGTTAGACCTTCTGTTATAATGTAATGTGTGGTTTCAATCAATCTACATCCTACGGATAAGGGTCACTGTGACCTAAAGACACTTAGTTTTAAGTAGTTGCACACTTTTTATGTAATGCTGATTTCACAATCTATCTAAAAGCATAATTAATAAGTTGTTAATATTCTAAAACACCTAAAATACTCCTAAAATGTATTATTAATGATTAAAGAAATAAATGTCACTGCATAGAAATAGACAGAACTGTTGAATGGTGCAGCCTAAACCTTTTTTTTCTAGGATAAATGTGGTATCGAATTCAAATTTCTCTTTAACAAATGTTCTTAATTTTGCCACATTTCCTTAGAGACATTATAAAAGTTAGAGAAAATCTCCCAACATTAGGGAAATCCTACCTTTTTGGATATCATGTCATTGTCATTTGAATATTAGTTTCTTTCAGGAGATTCCTCCTCTTGTGTCTGGGTGACAGCTGTAAAAGTTCTGATTCCCTTCACTTTCTTTGCTAAAGACAACAATTTTCAAAACAGATAGTTACCATGAACCTGTAAAACAGAAACACAGCCATAAAAGGTTCTCCTTCTTCTCCACTCTGTCCAAAGCTTGAAAAAACATTTTGGCTAAAATTCTGCTATAAAGAATATAAGAAAGAGAATCGATTGTAGATTACTTCTAGGAGAAAAAACTAGAAAACAGAAACACGTCCGTAAAAGGTTCTCCTTCTTCTCCACTCTGTCCAAAGCTTGAAAAAACATTTTGGCTAAAATTCTGCTATAAAGAATATAAGAAAGAGAATCGATTGTAGATTACGTCTAGAAGAAAAACTCTGTTTTTAAGGTTATGCCACAATATGTAGTGCTTTTTTTTGAATAGATTGTTTTCACCAGCAGTGCAGGAGAAATTATGGCTTTTGGACCCACCAAAGCCAGAAAGGTGTCCACGCAGGGGGCATTTCCTGTAATGCTACATGGCAAGGTCTTAGGTATGGTTCTAGTAATAGACTAAAGTGAATCACCGCAACAGCTTACAGACACACATACAAAAGTTATTATGTGATTATCCATCAGTTTTTTTTATCATTCACGATGGGTATAGATGAATTGGTAAGACTATATTTATATACATAATAAAAGCAAATGTGCACTCTAATGTCAAGATGTTTCAGTGTTACAGAAGTATTAACTTCCTTATGTATGTCTTTTCTCTCCCTCAGATTTGCGGTTTGCAGCTGACGCCAAAGTATATATGATTTAGAAGCAGATCGTTTACCTCAGGAAATGCACTTCAACCAGATAAATAAATATTGATTTAATGGGTAAGCATATTCCCCTATACCATTAAGACATGTTAATTATGCATTTAGCAGAGCCGTTTTATGGAAGTATGCTCATATGTTCCGCAAAGAGTTCTGGAAATGGTTCAAAATTTGTAACTTATGTGTAACTTTATTAGGTTTTATTGTGATTAGCCAAAATGTAAAACCTAATCTTTATGCATAGCATAGAGTAGGGAACAATGAAATCTTCTCTCACATTTTTATTGCCTTTGAAATTATGCCTAGTACCAGCGGCGGACTGACAACTCATGGGGCCTCCGGCAATAGGGGATCATGGGGCCCCTGTGTCCTTGCCCAAACTCAAAAAAGCCTATGAATAAGGTACCAGGGGCATCTCATGGGGCCCCCTACTGACCCCGGGCCCTTGGGCAGTGCCCGAGTTTTCAAATGGTCAGTCCGCCCCTGCCTAGAACACACCATCAGTTCAACCCAGTGGGCTCAAGGAAAAAACTGAGAAGCTCTGGAGGAGATCCTGTACTAACAATCCAATGTTAGTATTGCGATTTTGTTCTGACAGTGGGGTGGCCCCATTCCAGAACACACCAGTCAGAGCTTTCAGCCATTGGCTGAGAGTGCTGAACGGATGCCGATCGACAGACCTTTTTTGGTCATGTTTCTTCGACAAAAGCCAGATGTTAAGCTGGCTTCTGTCAGACCAGCTGCTGTACACACGGGCTGGTTTCTGTTGAAGTGGCTAATACCGCCAGAAATTTGTCCCTTATGTACGGGGCTTTAGGATGGTGGACTCTAAGGTTTGGTCAAATGATTGCTAAAGTATGGCAGCTCTCTGCTACCAGATGGAGAACCAACATGGTCACTGGGAGAATCAGTTTTGGCTGTTAACTCTTGTTAGACAATTTTGCAAGTTGACCAATCCTTACAGCTTGGTACTCACCCATTTACTCTATACAAGTTTTTATAGCTGTCCATTACCTGCTAGGTAGATTCATGTATTTTATGGGGTTGATTTGCTAAAGGCAAATAGACTGAGCACTTTGTAATGTGCAATTGCACTCTGCAAGTGCAGTTGCTCCAGAGCTTGGTAAAGAGGCAGAAGCTCTGCCGACTTCCATGATTCAATCATGTGCAAGCAAAAATGCTGTTTTTTTTTTTCTCTGCATGTGCTTGGGTATTTTTGGCAAAGGGAAGCTTTACCTCATTTACTAAGCACTAGAGCAACTGCACTTGCAGAGTGCAATTGCACTTTACAAAGTCCACAGTCTATTTGCTTTTAGTAAATCAAACCCAATGTATCCTGGTGTCAGAAAGTAATTAGAAATCAAAAATTTTAGTTGTCACTAACTTGTGTTCTTGGAGGCTACTTATATCTTGCACCCACATGTGCCTTACTCCACTCCTCTGGAGCCTGCTTACACCTTGGAAAAAAAGAAAGTTTCTTACCAGAGATCAACATTTTTCTGTTTCTGAGGTTGACTGGCTAAGAGGGTAGATCTTTGGTAGATTCCTAGGGTCTGTGTGCCTAATGTGGTGCTGTGTCTTAGCAGGCAATGCTCTGCTGGTGGCAGTGATATCCATGCACATAAAAGGGGCACCCAGCAACACTCCAAGCAAGTTTGTTGGTCCAGCACTTTTATTTATTAAAGCAATAACCAGTATAATGCAGGAGGGCTTTCTGCAAAAAGTCTGCAGCATAAACCAAACAAAACACCTTCTTCCATGAGCACTTCTTTTCTGAGCCTGACCAACAGGGTGCACCTTAATGGGTTTCCAAAAACAAACAGCACATGCACCTTATTTTAGCAATTTGTCAGTAGTCAGACTCTGCTCAGAAGCAGGCCCACAAATGGCAGAATGAGAGCTCTTGAGCCTATACACAGCTAAATAATGAGTGAGGTCAACTAACAGGTTAACATGGACCTAGAATTTGAGACTTTATTGCACCCAAAACTCTGCATAGCTCACAGCATCAGGACCCATAACAGAACCTACCAAGATCTGAGAAATAAATTGTTAGAAATCCTGGAGCCTCTCACTCTGTGTAGGTGAGAAGTCTAGGTAACACATACATACAGCCCTGCCAGCCAGCACATCCCACTATACATATCTTTTTATACTGTATGTATTCTAGTTATATCTACTAATATATGCAGCTTTTCTGTTTATTGTGCCCTTGAGTCAAATGTACCCCATGTGCAGGTGCCACTGAATACACAGGCTGAATTCCTTTAGTATGGTAATTTAACTCCAATGTCAGCATCAACTTGCATTTCTGGGGTAAATCAACTATAAAGAATATAAATATTGTATTAAACAAAGCTTAATGCTGTCCACACAGCTGAAGTGTTTCCATGGCTATGTGTACATAATGCTACTTATAGTTTGAAAACTGCAATCACCGCAAGCCCAAAGTCCATAAACACAGACCTTTAGTAAGCTTTGAAAGAAGGTTAAGATTATTGTAGTATGCTATGTTAAAATCACTAAAGCAAAAATCAATTTTTAGTTAATTTTTATTTGTTTCAGCTCTCCTGAAGATGCACTGGACACCAGAGCATGCCCAGCCCCTAAACCAGTGGCCAGAGCAGCACCTTGATGTCTCTTCAACTACTTCATCTCCAGCACACAAATCTGACTTGTACCAGAGTAGTCGGCAAAGGTTAAACTATGCTTGGGCAAATGATGATATATCTGCACTGACTGCTTCTAACTTGTTAAAGAGATATGCAGAGAAATACTCTGGTGTCTTGGACTCCCCATATGAGCGAGGCCCACTAAGTAGCTATACAGATGGAGCATTTGGCCCTGACTGTGAATGGACAAAAGGGTGAAATTGAACCTTGGCAGATGCCACATGGAGCTGAAAGCTCATATACTGTAAACCCCCTGCATGATAGTTTGGCTGGTTCCAAATCAGGCAATGGACATATCGCTTTGGGAAGCCCAACTATAGCATCTGGTAACCTCCCAGATCCACTTTATCCTGGTAGTACATGTGGAGCACCCAATCCAACAAGTGGGCTTGTGGCACCACAAGATTATACCTCAAGTTACAGTGGCACATACCTTCCATCTGGATATTGTAGTCAATCCCCTGCAGCACTTCCACCAACTCACCCATCATCTCTACATAGCTCAGGACTTCAGCCAACACATGCATCACCAGCTTTGGTCCATGGATACAGTTCTTCAGGCACAATATACAACTATAGCTCAAGCAGCTACCCTTCTCAACCAGGATATGGTGGAATGCATCCTACACACCCTTCTGGTTACTTGCCTTCAGGTATTGCTGCACCTACTCCACTGCCACCACATACAACGTCGTCAAGACCTCCTGTGGTCTCTGGGTACACATACCAAAGTTCTAATTTAGCACCAATTTCTGTTACTCCTTTGAGCACAGAACCATCTGGTTCCTTAAAAAGGAAAGCGTTTGATATGGCAACAGCAGAGGAAACTGAAGGAAGATATAGAAAATACAGCTATGAGCAACCAAAGACTACCTCAGAGTCATCATTTCAGATGACAGACGGTGTTCCGAATGAATGCCGAGGAAATGGCTTTAGTCGTAATGGAGAAACTCAACAGGTGCCCTTTAAGCCAGGCAAGCGCTCAGCTGAGGAAGATGTTGGAAAATATAGTGCTCAGCCAATAAAAGCAATGATCTCACCTACTTACAATGAAGAGTCAGCCCTGAGACCTCCAGAAACCTTTGGTAAGTTCACGCCACCTGTTGTTAATGGTGAACGGAGAAATAGTGATCAAGGACATATGTTTGCACAAAGAATGCAGATTTCAGGGATGAAACCACCAGTATTTTGTAGTCCATCTGAGGATCAGTTAAAAAATATGGATCCCCTTATTCTAGAAATTGTTAATAATGAAATTGTGGACTGTGGCCCTCCAGTGCAGTGGACTGATATTGCTGGCCACGTATCAGTAAAGGCTGCAATTGAAGAAGAATTGGTATGGCCCATTTTAAGACCTGGTGCTTACACTGGAGCCAGTAGACCTCCAAAAAGTATTTTATTATTTGGTCCCTCAGGTTCAGGGAAAACTCTGTTAAGCAGGTGTATTGCAACCCAACTAGGGTCTACATTGTTGAAGCTCAGCAGTGCCACACTTGTCTCTAAGTGGAAGAATAAAAGTGAAAAGATTTTGCAGACTGTGTTTTTCATGGCTAGCTGTCATCAGCCAGCAGTGGTTTTCATTAGTGAAATTGATCTTTTACTGTCTGCTCACATCAGTGAGGATAATTCCCACCTGATTAACCTCAAATCCCAACTGCTTTCCTTTTTGGATAACATATCTACCTCATCTGATGACAGCATCATTTTCATTGGTACATCTCAAAGACCGGATGACATTGATGAAGGTGCTCACCACAGATTTGCCAGGCGGTTTTACATTGCGCCCCCAGATAATCTTGCCAGAAGGCAAATCCTGCACCACACTTTGGCTCAACAAAACTATTGCCTTAGTGAAAGGGAAATGGCCCTACTTGTCCAGCATACTGAGGGCTATTCAGGAAATGAGCTAATTCAACTATGCCAACAAGCTGGAGCCAATCATCTTCATGGAATTTCAGGTCAACTACAACCAACATCATACAAAGACTTTGAGGGGGCATTCTGTAAACAACGAGCTGGTACCTCTCAAAAACAATTAGACTTGTACGTGGAATGGAATAAAATGTACGGCTCTAGACACTAACTGTGGAATGAAACTGAATGTGTTGACACTACACTGGCCCTTTTTTTTCTTTTTTTCAAGGTGGGTGCGTGTTGAGTCTTCAGCTTGAGTGGATTTTTTTTTCCTTTCCCTTTAATCTGAAATGTGACAGTTAGATGCCAAGTTACTGGTATCTGTTTTGTATGTACAGTATATGTATATACATACATATATGCATACATATTTGTATAGATCTGTCTGCTCCATTGAATGTTTCACAGGAAACAAAACCTGTATTTTTTATTTCTTTCTTATTTGTATCACATTTGGAAATCTAAAAGGAAAAGTAGCTCTTCACTGTACTCAGGATATCATCTATTTATTGCCAAATGTTGGCAGTGCCACTTAATATTTTGGTGAGTGGGAATTTCTGGTATCCTGCAGGTGTCACATGATCTCAAGGATTTGTTTCTATTAGTTGTGATCAGCTGCTTAATTCATTTGTTTTTGTATTTTAAAACTAAAGAAAATAACCCCTTCATGGCACTTTGGGGAACCCAGTTCACTCTTGACATATATTAGGTGACCAGAAACAGCAATGGGATGTGTATACAATGCTTAAGAAGGGATGGAACGAAAACTACATTGCTAGCTAAGAATAGAAACCATTTGTATATTTTTTTTTTTTTTTACTTTTTTATGTGTTCATGTTTATTTCTAAACACTCAGGAAAAAAATACTTCCAAAATGAATGTTTCTAAGACTCAACATTTTCAACAATTCAATTGAATTAGAGACTGTATAAGTACTTGAAGTTATTACCAGGATTGAATGTATTGCCAATCTCTTTCACTCCAGCTATCAGGAACAATTTCTCCCATAAAGGTTTTTATCCAGTTCTTATTTTTATTGTTATTATTTTATGACATTTGTTACTGTAGTATTGGAGTTATGTGTTTATAGCACGGGAGGTTGGAACACATAGTCAGTACCACTTTTTGGATGATATAATATAGTATTTACTGTGTTTGAGAGTTCTGTTAGAACTTCACAGGCATTTTTACTTATGTGAAGAATGTTTACAGCTGTGATATACATTTCTTGGGTTACTGGAAACAGAGCAATACCTCACTATTTCCCATACAAGATACCTCACGATTGCCTGCAACTACTTACTATTCTTGCTCAGATAAAGTTTTTGTCCCTCATAAATGGAAATTCATATCTAGCAAGAATTATCCTCCAGTGATAAGAAAGGTGCAGTTACAGCATTAGATGTTCTAGAATCAGTGTGTACCAGTTGTTCATACATAATAGCAGTGACCCAGTTCTGGGCTGGCCTGCTCTTAATATTGAAGATGTGAATGCTGCACTTTGTTGGCCATAGTTTAAAGAGGTTCTTCATTTAATTTCAGATAAGTAATTGCTAACTTATCTAGTTGGGGGGTTCACTCAAAGTTCTGCAGTACTTATCTGGAGAGCCAGGGGGTTGTGAATTCTGGGCTTATTCTGTAACCAACTGCTCCATGTCTGGTTGATTACTAGTGAAGCTCCAAAAGCATAAATTTATGTATAAGGATCGATGGTAAAAGGCTTTCCTTTAGAAAACAGTCTTAGTGAGGCTTTTTACTAGGAAGGTCCCAATCTTACAAACTCATCCCCGTGCTAAGTTAAAGAGACCCTATCAAGTCACTAAATAATTCAAACTGTTGGGTCCTTGTAATACAAGAGCTTTTATACTCACCTCTCCAGTGGCTGGTATGTCTAAGCTCACCTCCATTCCAAGACTGTTGACCTCTGTCATTGTTTGGTCATTTTGGAGTGTTGGATGCCCGTGTCCCTGCTGCTCACTGAGGCTCCCTCCTTGGATCCCTGTGTCACTGATAAGTGTTGTAATGTTGTAGGAGACAAGCATCCTACACTCCCGAAAGTGTCAAATGCCAAAGATCCTGATGTAGTCTACAGCAGTGGCATGAAGAAAAGGTAGGACACATGGCCTACTAGAAAGGTGAGTAAAACAGATTTTCTCTTTGAATTTTTGAATGATTTAATTATTTAGAGATCGGACAGAACCTCTTTAAGCAGTAGAAGGCTGCAGAAAACTGAAAAACACATCCCTGAAGTAAGGTAGATAAAAACGACCTCCATGTGAGAACCTCTCTAATCATACAATGCTTCTCTGTATCAAACCATAATTTTAACTTGAAGTTTTATCTCATTTAAATAGGTGCATCCTTTTATTTATTTATCATATGTTGCAATGCATTCATTTACTAGAAACAAAATGTTTAAAAGCAGCATTTTTATATGACCAAAGAACTCTTTTAGTATATATGAAGAATGTAAAATACCAAAGTGTTTAGTCCAATAGAGATAGATTGCTGTTCACTCCTACACTGAATGCCAAATCACAGTTCTATACATCCATATTTTCAATCCACAGTGTTCACTTGCCTGTAAGAAATGTTTACTGATCACTGGTGGTCTTGTTTGTCTGTCTGTGTATGCTTCATTTTCATGTGAAAATGTGTTCTCTTTAAACCAAAGTTTGTTAGTGAATAATATTTTGAGACATTGTAATAGAAAAGTTCTATTAGTTTTATAGTACATATTTAATTGTTTGCCTTCCACATTTTGTCTGTAATACAGTTTCAAGACAAAAATGATTAAAATTATACTTTGTTTTAATATTGATTTACACCAAAGATGCTCATGATTTCACCTTGTACAGTACAATTTTTGCTTTGCAATGTCACCTGTATTTAATATTATCATTGAGTTGGGGTGAAAAAAGAACAATATATTGTCGTATGGATGATGACTTTTTGGCAAGCTGTGGACTGTATCAATCTTACAGTGTCAGGATAATGACCTAGAGGTCAGTCATAGCCACCCTCCTTATTGGGCTTTTGGTGACCAATTGATCTTCTTGATGGTTAGCACAGAATCCAAGCATTCACCTCTGCTCAGTTATTGTTCTGCTAAACAAAAATTACCTTCCAGTTGTAATCCAAAGTCACTGATAATCTGCTTATTAATCATTTATGGTGCATTGTTGGTACATAAAAGTTTTGCCAGACTTTACAATGAAGTATTGTGTATTTATTAACATGATACACATAGTACAGTCATTAACAACTTAAAGAGACCTTGCCACATAATACATCTCTTTCAGCAAAGCACAATACTGTAAAGAGGAGGGTGTCCCATTCTATCCTGCAGTGTCATCAGTTAAAGTAGTTGTAAACCCAGATTACAAAAATTAAACTGAACATTTTTGCTAACTCAGCAAAGTAGCACAACTCATTTGTGCACAAGCTGGCAGAGAAACGAGCAGCCTGTCATCTGTAATCCTCCCTGCTTTGCAATGGGAAAAAAAAACAGACACATGCGAAAAAAAAAAGTTGTCGCCATGCCCCCTCTCCTTTGATTGACATACATGAAAAGGAGACCCAAGCACAGGAAAGAGTGAAGGGGCTGCTTCAGCCTGAGTGGAGGATTGTTTAGTTTCAAGTGGTTGTTAACCTCATATGCATCATTTCTCAAACACATGAACCATTTCATAGTTTGTTTAATAAAAATCCAAAGTGCTGTAGTTTTACCTCTGTATTTACATCTCTAAGCCTGTCATAGCTCTCTGACAATCTCTGATTCGTGGGCAGCAGAGTACTGACATCACTGGCCCCACCTCCCAGCTGTACACACCACCTCCGAATGGGGAGTAACGTGCAAGCACACATCTAGCACCGTGCGCGCTGCTGAGCTGGCGCTAGTGTATGAGTGTACAGCTGGGAGGTGGGGCCAGTGCGGTCATGACTCCACTTCCCGAGCTTCGGTCCATAGACACAACCACAGACCGAAGATCTTCAGAGAGCTGTGGCAGACTTAGATATGAAAATACAGAGGTAAAACATATGGTGCTTTGGATTGTTATTGAACATAATATGAAATGGTGCATGTGTTTGAGAAATATGCATATGAGGTTTACAACCACTTTAAGAGAAATGTACCTTTGAGGGAAACATGAAGATACACATTCCTGGATGTGTCTGTTCCCAGCAATGGGACCAGTTTTCACCAATGGAGTAGCGTTGAGTGGTGTGCATAACAGCAGAGGTAAGTATTCAGTTTCTTCCTAACAGGTATGTGCTTTGCTGAAAGAAGTTTGTTATATGACAGGCTAATGAAAATTCCTTTCTGTACTTGCAGCACTTTGAATGGCATGTTTTAATGATTGCTTATTGCTTAATTAAATGCTGCAGTGTTGGACTGGGGTTGTGGAAAATGTTTTCAGCTAGTGACCACATATTGGGATTGATTTACTAAAACTGGAGAGTGCAAAATCAGGTCCAGCTGTGCCTGGTAGCCAATCAGCTTCTAACTTCAGCTTTTTTAATTAAGCTTCGACAAGAAAAATGGAAGCTTATTGGTTTCTATGCAGAGTTGCACTTACATTTGCACTCTCCTGTTTAAGCAGATCAAACCCATTGAGTACATGCTGTTTGTCCATACTGGGCACAGGCCCAGAAAACACATTTAAGCAAAGTGTACAAAGCAAGGCTCTGTAAGTGCAAGTCCCAAAGCCCAACTCCAGGTAAATTTTAACTAACTACTAACAGTTAACTGCCTCTCAAATCGGTGCGCCCCTCAAATTATTAAACATTAAATCAACAAATAAATAGTTACAATGAATAAAAACACAATCTAATGCCTTCATCATAAAATAAAGTCCAATAAACGTGCTTTATTGAATAATTGAAATCCAATAAAATTATTCCGAAGATAAAGTGCTCAGTTCCAGCAAATTCAGAAGAATTGAAAAAAACACTCTGCACACAAGTGATTACTCATGATTCCTCAACCACACAATAGATACAATCAGCATCATGAGGGGTATGGAGGGTATGGTTGCGCAATACCCCTGACAATTCTGATTAGTGGCGAAACATGTTGGGCGCACGAGATACATTGGGGCTGGGATCTCAGCATCTGTTCTGATATGCGCTCTGATATCTTCTGACTTTGTGAGTATATGTTTGTTT